CAATACTATAAGTAATAGAAATAATAATACATTAATAAGAAAACAAAATATTTTTATATATTTAAATATAATTATTTTTGTTATTTTATAAATTAGTGTGAAAATTATATTTTACTTTGTTTGTTTGTTTTGCTTTATAAACACTAACAAAAATTTCAGAATTTTATAAATATAAATGTCAAATATATTATAATTTATTAACTAATTAGCAGTATGTTTTCCCCAGTTTTGTGAATTTGTGAGCTCAGAAAATATATGGACTTTATGGTTTTGTCATAACATTATTGTTTAACTTTTCCCTCCCCGTGTCTTGTCACAGCTGAGACACACAGAACTGTCCGGTCAAGCCCAGCAGCTGCTCAACACTTGTCACACTCATAAGGAGAGGATCAGAGACCTTTTCCAGTCCAAACTGGAGGAGGTAAGACTTGTTTCACAACCTAGTGAGCTGACTACCTAGTCAACACTTTCAGATCGGTGATATGTAGGCATCTGTGCTAAATGTAACCCCTCTGCACAAGGATATTTTTACCATGAGCAGTGTGGGTTGGCTGTGTCTGTGTTTACATCAACGACTCCCCCTGGTGTTTCTTTGCAGATCAGCATCGTTGAACTAGAGAAGAGCCAGAGGCAGCAAGAGCTCCTGCAGCTCAAGTCTTACAACCCGTGTGAGGAGTCCCCCTACCAAAAGGCCCTTCCTGGTCCAGAGACTACCTAGTCAACACTTTCAGATCGGTGATATGTAGGCATCTGTGCTAAATGTAACCCCTCTGCTGCCCCTCTCACAGCTGGGTGTGAAGGCGGTGACCGTGGAGGACCTGGTACAAGCTCAGAAGGAGATCACATCCCACAACATGCAGCTGAGGGAGCAGACCAAACAGCTGGAGAAGGACATGGCGGAGCTCCGCGATCAGAGCCTGGTGCTGGTGAGTGATCCGCAATAAACCCTCATGGCCTGCCTTGATGGAGCAGAAGGATACTTATGATTCAGAAATGAAAGTTTCTGGCAGAAGTGGAACTGAACGCCCATTGCTCGTATGTTTGTGTGTTTGTCAGCTGAAGGCTCGGTGTGAGGAGCTCAAGCTGGACTGGGGATCTCTGTGTTTGGAGACTCTGTTGAAAGAGAAAGCGGCTCTGCGAAGACAAATCTCGGAGAAACAGCGCCACTGTCTGGAGCTCCAGGTACTCACATGCACATTTTTCTCAGTCAGCTCAGAGATAATAGGCCATTGCTTCTTTACCATTGGTACAGTTGATGCTGTGGCATGCTGATCTTGGTGCTTGTGCGGTTTGCACTGGTTCAGACCTGGCCTGCAACATGGTACAATCTCATTTTCCCTCTCTGGACTTTAGTAATTTCCTGTTTCCCCACTATTTCGGTCTCATAAAGATGCACTAGGATGACAACCACACAGATTTTTTTGTTGTTTTACATGAATGGTTATGACAACTTGCATGTGTATGTACCATTTTCAAGATTTAAGTAGATTTCAGTTGTTTGGGTCATCTAAAAAAAAACTTGCCGCAACCTACTAGTGGATTGGTTTCATATTTAAAAGTATCATTACATTTTTTTTCCCAACATTTCATATTTGTATGTTAAAAAAATGTCAAACGTTTATCTTAAAACATTATTTATGCATTTGGAATTTTACTGTGTAAATGTATTAATGGAACCTCTCATTAAAAAAAAAAATTCTGATTTTTTTGATATGAATGTATTATTAATAGTTAATTACATAATTACATATCTCTTTATTTTTAAATAATCAATATCTAAAATATATACAGTCCTTCATCCCAGCAAAATGTGTGTATAATTTTATATGTAATTATATAATAATAATAATAATAATAGCTATAATATGCAAAGTATTTTTATATAGTTAAATGTGTAATTGCTTTATATATATATTTATATATATATATATATATATATATATATATATATATATATATACATACAT